TCTCAAATGTACTATCAAAATCCTCAAACTAAACCTTGGGATCATCAAGATTCCCAACCAAACCTCGAAACCGTTCCCGAGGCAAAACCACTCACTAACAGAGGTAGTTTTCACAAGAGGCTAATGCTCATGATCTTACACCCCCCGCAGCTGAGGGCTTCCTCAAAGATCTCTGAAGGAGCAAACTCGGACATTCTGCACTAGGGGGATGCCCAGGCCACATTCCCTTGGCGCGTACTCGCCACTCAAACACAAGACCATGCACAACAACACAACGCAGATCTTTGATCAAAGAGGCGTGCAAGTTCTGAGACAACTCAGATCGTGGTGAAAACACGTGTTAAACAAATTACTACGAAGCGGTCAGAAAAACTCAGTTCCTCTTCAAGACCTCGTCTCAAGTTTCAGCTCGCAGTTTTGTCAGGGCGAAAAACACCAGGGTTCCTGACGCAGAGGGTCCGAACGGACCAAGAAAACTGTTCAGCCAGTGAAGAAAACTTCTAGATCCAGTGTGTCTAGCGTTGCTTGACACCAGTTCCAGACTGTACCCCAGCTTTTCCAAAAAAAGAAAGCGTCGTGGCCACCGTAGGGCCTTCAGTCAAAAACACATGCACTGATTGCCACTCCGCGCAGCAAAAGAGCAAAAGAGCCACTGCGGCACCGAAGCCATGGCTTAAAACGGCTGCAGAAAACCTGAGAGGTTTCCACAACCATCTCCAACTCAAGAAGATCATCAAGATTCTCCCACCTGGCTTCACTCAGATCCCTTTCCGGAATCCCCACGCTTGGCATCCGCAGCCCCCTTCGAAGCCTCAGAAACCAAAGCCTGACGCCGATCCTGGGCCGCTGCCCGCATCTCCCCAAGCTCAGTTTGGGGCGCAGCCATAACATCCGAATGATCAACCAATGGTGCACTCACAGGTGCCACCACAGGAGCAGCATGCCCCAACCGGCATCGTCTGCAGGAGATTCTGAGTCGCCATCTCTGCAATACGACGAAATGCCTCTTCCGTCAAGGCAAACTGAGGCACACCACCGACCACTGGAGCAGTTGCTGCTTGCGCAGTGGGCTCTTCAACCCCAGGCCTTTTCGCCTCTTCCTCCTTCTCCTGCTCCTCAGCCTTTCGCTTAAGCTCCTGCAGGGCTTCCAACTGAAGCATCTCCTCTTTCAACTCACCCAAGTGCTTCAAAACAAGCGTGACAACGTTCACAAGAAGGTGCACTGGCAAGTACACCCTGTTCTTCAACACGTACTCATTGCTACTATGCAAAGGGCAACTACAATCCCGACTCAAAGCAGGGCGTGTCTCCTCACACGTCATAATATCTCTGGTTTGTCCAGCCATCGCAAACTGGATCACTTTGTAGTTGGAGTAAACCCAAAGGGCCCACTTAGGCAACACACCATTTGGGTCCTTGTTAGGCACCGACTGACACATCAATTCGGCAACCCAACGAATGCCATTGCACACAACATTCAATGCCAAGCAGTCCATTTTTGCTGTAGAAAAACTCGAAGACCAAATTCAAGCAAACATAAGTTGCACACACTCCGTAACTATAAATGTCAATCAAATCATAACGTATCGCATCACTCGGACCCTTCTTTTCTTTCGGGGGGCGCACCGGGTTGCCCGGCCTCCCCGCACCGGGCTGCCCGGCCTTAGGCCGCCTAGGTGCACTGCCAACATACCGTTCGCATGCTTGGCCAACGTGGAGCACAGCCTACGGAGTGGCTCGCAACTGCAGTTGCAAGAGTGGCAACACGTCACCACCCCCTGTTAAGTCTCGACGGGCGCGGTGGGAGGGTAGTCGAGACCCGTCTCCCACTCTTGAGAAGCAATGTGAACCTTTCACATGCTCTTCAAGGGAATTTCTCCGTTCAAGAAATAACTGCTCGAAAATACATTGCTCAAATTGGGAGAGGCAGCACACGGGTTAGGGCATTAGGGTTTTGAGTTTTCTTCGCTCGCCGCCACAGCGGCTCGTCAGGAACGCAAAAAGGTACTAGCTGTCGTCGCAAGCTAGACAGCAAAAGTACTTTTGCTGTAGAAAAACTCAAAACCCAAATTCAAGCAAACATAAGTTGCACACACTCCGTAACTATAAGTGTCAATCAAATCATAACGTATCGCATCACTCGGACCCTTCTTTTCTTTCAGGGGGCGCACCGGGTTGCCCGGCCTCCCCAGAAAGTAGCAACACGGTACGCTCCTTGTCAGAGTCACCGACACAGATTTGCACTGGCGGTTACAGATCGATCAGTGGGATGCCCAAGATGGGACATGAGCACTTAACTCGCAGTGCACCTGAATCAAGAAGAGCCCTGAATTCACCGCGCGACGGGCCGTCTGACGGATTGGATGCAGAGGGTACCCTTGTCCAGTAGGTCCATGATGGGCCATGCTTTTCACAGGATTCCCAAGCAAGAAGTAACTCTAAAATGATCACTACTAGACGTTCCTCGCACAAAGCTGAGGAGGACGGCGTCGTTGTCCACGAAGAACAAGCCATACTGTCCGGACATGTGTTGATGGAACGTCTTGCGTGCCAAGGCGACGGCGTACGCCTCAACGGGTCCGATGATATGTTTTAGATGCTGCCTCCACCTGTCCGCCAAGGTGGGCGAACAGCTCAAGCACAATACCTGGCTGCTCACTTGACTTGTCATGCGCGTGACCACTAGACATGCCAGCACCTGCGGTGGGGCCTAAACCAGACTGAGGGGAAGCAGGGCACGGGGCAGCAATCGGCTGTTCGATCACAAGTGGTTTCGGAAACTCATCAGTGGCACAGCCCCCGGTGACGACGGGCGCCTCATAGCACACCGGGGGCGACTGTTCGGCATCACGAGTGTCGGCTTGCAAGGGAAGCTGAAATTCCAACTCGGTCAGCGTGGCACCATCAGACTCACTAAGGCGATCAACGGCGGAAATAGACAATGCAACCAACACAACCCTATCACCCGACCAAGCCCTGGTGGCATGAGTCAATTGTCGGGCGGTGAAGACGGCATGAGTGCCACTCAAGCTAAGTTCGACGCCACTGCGGAGTTCGCCATCAACCTCGCACCAAGCCTGCCCGCCTGGTCTCTCTCTCAACCCACACCTGACCCTGATCGAAATCAGACAATGCGCACACAGCATTGGGCAGAGAAGAATTATGCGCATCAACATGAGGTGTGGTTCGGACGTTGTGAAAGAATGCTAAGCTCGTAAGTTTTAGGTTGGGCAGCTGTTGGCGCACGAAGCGTGCGGCCAACTTGGTTACATTCGGGAACAACAAAACATTTCGTCGCAACCCAACCTTAACTCGGCAGTAGGCACCTGTGGAGAAGGACACGCCTTGCGTCGGGTCGCCTCGGACAGCAGCTTCTGTGGGGAGTGATTGGAAGATCTCAAGTAAGTCAGAAGGGGAAACAAAATCAGCATTGTTGAGCAGTGTCAGAGCTCGATCCTCGACCGAACCATTGAATTCGAGTTCAAGACTTTCGCTACTGATCGGCTCAATTTCATCGATGGCCTTGACCTCATCGGTCTCAAGATCGGCTTGAAGTGAAACACGTGCAATCTTGTGAGCAGGAGCCTGGGCCCCTAGTCACTCGTTGCTGCGCTTCGGGCAATTGGGGTAAAAATGCCGTGGCTGGCAGCAAAAGCAGCAGATGTGAGCACCGAGCACCCCTGAAGCACTTGTTACCCGTCAATTGTCTAGTGCATGTGCCCCTCTGGGCGTCAAAACAGATGGGCACTCCTTTCGGGGGCGCTTGCGTGCCCGTCCTTAAGGTCTTCGGGCATGGCCACCTCGCGGCGTGACGCTTGCTTCCCTTTCCCCGAACCTTTGCCACGACCCTCGGCCACGGCCTTCTTTAAAATCAGCGATGTTTGAACGAGGTACTTAGCGACGATCCTGTACAAATTTTATTTCCTTAGTGTTGACCGCGTGGGAGTCTCTGAAGTTAACTGTTGTTGAGCACATGCGAAAGCTTAAACAATGCAACACACTCGGACAGCGTCTTCGTTTTCTCTCGAGAGGGCAAAGGGGTGCAGTAAGTCTCGAGTTTGTTCACACCTTGCTCGCCCTGCCACAGACGGCAGGGGTAGGCACAGATAAAGATGGTACTTCAGCAAAAGGCGAGGGAGGGCGGGCCAAAATTTCATGGGCCAGAGAAAGCTTCTACCTCCACATCCCTCCCATCTCGAGCAGACGACATCGGATGGTCGAGGGATTCCACTGTTCAAACACAAGGCGAATGACATGTGTTGAAAAGCTGAAGCATAAAAATTTGGCAATCAAACCACGCTTGAATTTTGACAAAGAAAATTCATCAACACACGGAAATAAGAGCATCGTCCCTCCGGGACCGTAACTTTATTTCCTTAGTGTTGACCGCGTGGGAGTCTCTGAAAGTTAACTGTTGTTGAGCACATGCGAAAGCTTAAACAATGCAACACACTCGGACAGCGTCTTCGTTTTCTCTCGAGAGGGCAAAGGAGTGCAGTAAGTCTCGAGTTTGTTCACACCTTGCTCGCCCTGCCACACTCCATCTGAGAGCGAGCTCGGTAAGCAGATGCATCAAACCGGCCAAGCGCACGGAGCTTGAAGCCTTTGCACACCGTCCCTCAGTAAATGACCGAAGACACTTCGACTGGGCTCGTCTGCTGGATTAGAGCTGGTTGGCACCCGGCCATACCACGGACGGATCCTTGCTGAGTCCTCCAAGTCGAGAACCGAACTCACTATGGACTGACCAGGAAGAGTCGACGACTTCCCGGATACCAAGGCTCCCTTTGCAGCTTCGTTGTCCAAGTAGATCACTACGAGGCAACGGGTAAGTCGGTTCATCCACAGCTTTAAGGCGGCCCAGATGGCCAGCAACTCAACCTCGTAGATTGGGTGGCTCGAGGTTTCCTTAAGTCTGTTCAAAGCGTCAAACGGAAGGCTGGCTGCAAAGAAAGAAAGAGGTTTACCGAGTGGGTCGTACAAGATGCCGCCCACGCCGGCTACATCTCCTTCGAGGCTTCCGTCAGTAAAAACGTAAAAGGTTCTTTGATGTCAGGAGTGAGCTGCACAGGTGGCGACTCCAGAGCTCGATCACGCAGGTACGTGAGAGCGTCACGAAGGTCACTGCTCAGCTTCCTACCCCTATCTAAACCTTTAGCCCTAAGACCTAAGACTCTCAAGGCTTGGCAGGGCCGGCGGCCGAAAAGGAAAGAGCTGAACCAGTGGAGTCTGCCTCGAAGGGCTTCAGCCTCTGACGACTCAAGCAAGCCGGAATCAAGAATGCGTGTGAGGGTCTGCCTCAATTCTTGAATGCGCTCTGGCGTGTGCTTGATGTACACGACTCCATTTCCGAATTCACTCAGATCTATGATCAGGCCAAGGGCCCGACATTGCTTGGAGAATTCGGTGGCTTTCTTACCTTCCCTTGCGAAAGTTATTCCGAGGATGTCAAGCAGGGCCTCCGCACATGATTCGGCACAAGGGCAATGCTCGTCCAAACTGAAAAGAGGAAAGTCGTCAAAATAATTGCACCAAGAAAGGCCCAGCAGGGCGGAGCCGATGTGCCACGTGGCCGCAGACGTTCTCAGAAAACCTGCCACGGATCCCGTCGTCCCGAAGGGGAGCGCTGCCGCTCCGAAGAATTTGGGTTTCCTCGAGCAAGTGTCAAGCACAAGGATTCTGAAGATTTCTCGATCTGAGGGATCGACAGCATACTGTTTGTACGCCCACTTTAAATCAATAGTTTTCCCCGATACCTGCTTCCCTTTAGCCCGTGGGTCCATCATGGCCCAGACCAGGAAGGCTGAGATGAAATCAATGTTGTGTAGCCTAAAACGTTCAGGCAATCCAACGGTCTGATTGATTCCGGCTGCCTTTCCGTCGTCTATCACTCTAGTCTTGGCACCTTGGATGATGCCGAACCTTCGGGCAACTAGGACGGACGAAAGGTCCGGAGCCGGGTCTTCAAACAGCCAGCCTTTCTGCTGTTCCTCAAGCGTTTCGGACCAGGCCTTTTCAGCGACAGCATCGACCGGCTGAGAAGAGACCCTGGCCAGCGTGGCAGCATTCCTGGCTGATGCACATCTAAGCTGTTTGTCCAGGCTGGTCTTAGGGGGGCGAGGTTCGGCAACAAACAACCCGGTCCTAGGCATCCATCCGGTCAGCGGAAAACCCTTCCTAAGGTCGGGGACTAAGGACTGGTCTGGAAAGGACGAGTCGGCGAGCAACCGCTCGAGTAGGAAGGTTCTCTTCCCATCGATGATCTTGCTCACCAAAGGATCCAATGATTTCCGAGCTTGTTCCTCTACGGGCTCGAGTTCCTTAGCGATCTCGTTCCACTCGGCCAGTCGCGATTTTCCCAGATCCTCGCGGGCTGCGCGTCCAGTCAAAAGGTTATCTACAAGGAGCTTGGTTCGTTCATCGATCTGAGCCTCGAGTATCCTTTTGGGGTGGCCCGCCAACACTGCCTGCTGCACGAAGTCTGACGGGGTGCGGGGAATGCCTATCCAGAGTACCTCGCACAAATCTTCAAAAGTCGAGTCACTCATGAATCCACAAACTTTGCAAATGGGCTGGTCCTCTTCCTCGAGAGGGGGAGCATGTGAGTCCATACTCCATTTCCAGTTGGATCCCAGAGTGGATTCAAGCACGGCAAAATCAAGGCTAGGAAGAACGCAAGCCCGTATCTGACCCCAATGCAACAGCTTGCGACGGACAGCACGAGTACCTTTAGGATATGCTTTCAACAAGGCGGGCGGACAGGCAGTCAAGCCCAGCGGCACAGCCCAAGCATCGTAAGCGCCGAACTCACTGACTAAGGCCCGTTGCTTACGGGGCTGTTTCTCATAAGCCAGCCGTGTGACGGAGCTGGCCGGCCCGAACAAGGATGGGGCCGTAGGAATTCCGCAGACCTGAGAAGCAACTAGCTCGGCGACCCTAGCGCACAAGAGAGGTGGATAGGCACCTTTGGTTCCTGCATCGGATGCTGCGTTCCAGGGCGCATGCGAATGCTTGCGGTTACACGAAAGCCCTAAGGGCTTGAACCATGGAGCCGAGCAAAGCCAGCGAAGCTTGCGATCTCGATCACCACCATGCATGCACTCGTGAAAATCTACGACGTGATTATCGGCACCTGACAAGAGGTCCTGAATGATCGGCAGAAGCCAAAAGAGGGAGGAGGCGGGAGCCTCCACACTAACTGGAATATTGAACTTCCGGCACAGCAAGAACACATCATGACAGAAGATGTAAAGGTCGTTGGCTTCAGCGACTCTCCTTTGCAACGATTCAGGCAGTGCGTCTAGACCTAAAGGCTGCGCGGGAGACCGGGCCGGAGGGGCCAGGTTATTTGCAGATTCCTTGTTCCGGGCAGCCAAGCAAGTTTCCTGAGGCGGTGCCATGTGCACATACTGCAATGAAGAGGCATGGTCCTGGATCAATTGCAGCACGACCTCACACTCCGACCGATCAGCGAAATCGAGTGCTTGAACGGGATGGCTGGACCTGCAGACCTTATCGAAAGCCAGAGCTTGGAAACCCAAGCGCGTGAATGTCTGACTCAAGCGGGCTGTGCCGGCGAACAATTCAAGGAACATGCCGGCCTCTCCATCGTCCTGAGGGCACTGCGAAACTGGCCTAGATTGGTCCTGAGAAAACTGCAATGCGGGCTCAAGCTGGTCCTTAGAAAGCGGCAGAGGAATGTCGAATGCAGTCAGCACTGCCCGGTGTTCCGGCGTAAGGCGCTCGAGGCGGTTCACCGAAAAGGCAACCAAAACTATCCTTAAACCATTAGCCCATGGCAGTGTCTCGTGCTCAAGAAAGGGGTCAAACTGAAGTGGTCCTTCACTGAGTGACAAGTTCACTGGCCCGTCGGCGCGGTGAAGACGCAACTGACCTCCTTCGAAGGAACTGAGGGCGCAGATCCCGTTGCGAGATCCCGGCAAGTTGTTGGCGTCTTTGTGCAGAGCAGTCTGCATGTTGCGGAAAAGGCCAACTGATGTAAACTTAAAACCGGGGAAGGCAATCCTAGCTAGGGCAACCAGAAGACGGGTGCAGGCTGGGAACTCTCGGCAGCGACGTCGCACGCCGGTGATTCCGCCTTGGTTGTAGGCACCTGTGATGAAACACTTCTCAAGTGGGTCATTTGCTGTTTCACGGGTGGATTCTTCGTCGGGCAAGAGCTCCGCGAGTTCCACCCATGATGAAGAGTCGCCTGAGCCTTGCTGAAGACAGTTTCTTGCGAACTCTTCAGCCGGGTGTTGGCCGAAATCTGACACACGGTGCGGAGCAAAGGAAAATCTCGAACGGTTCGGCTCGAAATGGGCATGAGCAGGATCGGCAGCGAAGGCTCGGGCCGAGCACACGGAAGAATCACGATGCTGCAAAGCCGGCTCTTCACGCACTTCGGAGCTCAACAAGAGTTGATCTTGGGGCTCACGGTTTCCAATGAAGTTTGGCGGGTCATAGCAAGGAGTTTCAGCTCGATTTAAATTCGATTTGTGGCCGGAAGCACGGACTCTCTTAGGAGAGCGACTCCTGGCTTGAGCATGCACTGTTCTATCGGAGCGGTCACGGGAGGCTAGTCACTCTTTGTCGGTCTTCCCGTCAGCCTTCCCGGATCCTTTTCCTCCCCCTTTCCCGCCTTTGCCTTTGCCATTGGCTTTGTTAAAGCAGCAGGCTGACCATCCGTGGCCAGCTTTCCGGCATCCCATGCAGGCGTGCACTCCGCGCTTGCATGCTGGCGGGTGTCCTCCATCTGTCGCAGCATTGCAAGTCCCAGTGTTGTGAGTCCAGCAAAGTCGGCGGCCTGACTGATCGGTGTAGAACTTGCAGTCCTTGAGCTCTTTGGGCATGTTGTCCACCTTCACCGCCCCCGTGAGCGCGGATGTGCGGCGCTCGCGGCGCGGCCTTTTCTTGGGGTTCTTGTCCCCATCAAGAGATCCGTCGATGACCGAATCAGTCGCAAGGCTGCTGAGGGCTTTGGGCAACGGGAGCAAATGCATAGTGATCCGTGGGTCCGTTCTCAAGCGATCCAACAGAGTGTCAGCCTCCATCTCGCCTGTTGCGCTTGCCTTGACGTTCTTGATCTCCTTGGACATCAACAGGAACATCTCAGAATCAGCTTTAACGACCTGGGCGACTGTGACAGGACTGTATCCTGGGATGGAGTCAGAAGTCAAGCACTGCAACAAGTAGCAAACCCATTTCTCATGAGTCTCCCAGGAGATGATGCGATTCATGCCGAAGGCCAGGCCACGTCGCTGCATGCACCACTGCAGCTCAAGCGGCGTGCTGTGCTCTGCAATGAGCTTGTCTGGCTGGGCCGTGACGGTCACTGAGTTATCCAGCACGATCCTGGACTTTTCCTTGGGCCCAACCTTCAATTCTTGATCACGCTTCTTATTGTTCAAAGATCGTGCTTTGTATTGAGATGCGATTGTATGTCAATTGTGTTTGAACCTCCAGGTATGAATGCTTGCACTCGCACATGTCGCATGCAGAGAGTTCAAGCTCGACGCTATTTTCACACGGTGGGGTAGCAAGTACCGCACACGGCAGAAATCTTCGAACTGTCGGTCCTGTGAGACACAAGACTCTTTTCGTCCCCACTTCCAGGAGTCGCAGTGTTAAGCAGGCAGATTTGAAACCCTCTTCACAATTGATAACACCGCTTTGGTCGCCTCGACGGACTCGTCTCTGAATCCTAGCCTCTTGACTCTATCAAGTTTCATCCTCGATGTTTCATCAGCCAGATTGGCGGGTGATGCCACTCTCGCATACCACGGCAAGATGCCGTGGACATACTCCAGGAAATTGACTTCATCGATAAGAATCCCAGCAACCCCTTTCTTCGAAGAGCCGGCGATGTATGCATGTCTCGCAGCATCATTATCGATATAAAAAATCACTCCAGTTCCAGCAACAGCACCTGGCTGTTCGTATGATTCTGCGAAAGCAGCTGTCTTTTCGACCAAGAGCTTGAAACCGATCAAGACCCCGAACATTTCGAGCTCATATATGATGGTATGCTCATCTTGCAACGACATAGACTTGGCTTGCTGCTCTGAGATCGGCACGCTGAAGAAAGAGAGTGCCGAGCCTGACCCGGTGAGAAGGACGCCCCCCAGGCCTCCAGTTCCTGAATCCGTTTCAAACGCCGCATCATTCAGGATCATCAAAGTCCTGCATGAAACTTGTTCCACTAACCTCGGTTGGGCCATGTCAAGAAACTTACCAAACTCTTCAAGTCGTTTCTTGGCCATCGACGAAAGCTTCGACCTGCCAGTGTAGGCGTGCTTTGTCACCTCCGTAAGGCACCTTCTTCCCAGCCTGCCGAAAAACTGGGCTTGAGCAAACTGCAGCCAACCCCGCAGTGCAGCGCTTCCTTCTGAGTCATGGTTCCGTTTTCTAGGAAACCTTTAATCGCAGCAGTTCCTTTCGTCGTTTCTCAGTGTTTCTAACTCCCGACCCTGTCTGGTCAAGCTCGAAAAAGACGCTAAGAGGAGAAGTCCAAGTTGTTACAACAACTCGCTGTGCCCTTCGGCTCACCAAGGCCGTGTATTTTTTCCTCAGAGTGGCGAGAGCTTCTTTGGACTTTCTTAGTCAAAGGAGCCAGAATCCCGACCACGAATTATTTCGACGATTTTGTTCTGCTCGCTCTTGGAGGAATAGAAGTAGTAAGTTCGTGTTCGCATGCTTTCGATGAAGTTATGAGGCTGCTAGAGTGGGACACTAGCTTCCCGGATCGTGGACCGAGAGGTTAGAAAAATCTAAGCTTGTATCAGATACCGCCAATTGTCTGTAAGCTCCCTTCAGATCCGCCGATTTCCCGTACAATGCGTTCAGGTTCTTCTTTCGGGCAGCACTCGAAAGCGTATTTATCAGCAATGCAATTTCATCGATAGAGTGATAGGCTTTTCAGCAACTGTGACCGTGTCGTTAATCAAACTCGATGAGTAGTTGTCATTGGTCGCAGCTTCTCCCCTGGTAGCAACGGAAAACCGAAGCAGACCCGACGACCCAGTCTTCACCCCGATCTGCATTTCATCAGACATCTCTATAAGTTCTCAGTATCCAACCTAGCAGGCTTGAGCTTCGTATCCAGCACCAGTGATAGGAATGTCCGGAGAGCCTGGTCTAGGTTTCCAAATCCATCGCCACAGTAGTCTTCTGGAATTCTAGCATTGTGTCCTTGCGGATGGGCCATGTTCATCTTCTTTCTGTTCGTGGCTCGACGTTGTTGTGCTTTCGCCCTCCTCTGATCATATCGAGATTCCTTGGTGGATCGCGTGGAGCGACTCATAAGCAGGAACGAAAAGCTTTGAATGCTGCCAAAAAGGAGGCGCCTTTAAAGGCTGCCTACTTGGGTTTGCTGATGGCCTATGGGTTTCCAGAACCTCGTTGTTCCTTATATAGCCTAATCGACTCCCTGTTGCAGAAAAAATTAGGAACCTCGTTTTTCCATATGGTCTAATGGGTTCCTGTGGCAGAAAGTGTCCCGAACCTTATTTTTCCAATGGCCTAATGGATTCCCCATGGCAGAAAGTGTCCGGAACTTCGTTTTTCCATATGGCCTAATGGATTCCCTCAGGCAGAAAGTGTCAGGAACCTCGTTTTTCCACATGGCCTATTGATTCCTGTGGCAGAAAGTGCCCGGAACCTTGGTTTTTTATATGGCCTAATGGATTCCTTATGACCCATCCTATGGCCTAACCTAATACACCTTTCCTATGACCAATCATTTTCGCGTTTCAGGAATACAATCTTTTCTTTTTCCCACACGGAAATGATTAGGCATAGGGAAGGTGTATTAGACCATAGGTTAGGCCATAGGATAGGTCATAAGGAATCCATTAGGCCACATGAAAAAACGAAGTTCCGGACACTTTCTGCCACAGGAACCCATTGGGCCTCATGCAAAAACGAGGTTCCGGACACTTTCTGACAGAGGGAATCCATTAGGCCATATGGAAAAACGAGGTTCCGGACACTTTCTGCCAGAGGGAATCCATCAGGCCATATGGAAAAACAAGGTTCCGGACACTTTCTGCCAGAGGAATGTTAGGACGTCGCGATGCTCGCAGCCTCTTCTGCTCCATGTAAGTGACAAGATGAGTTTCCAACTCCGCATGTTTCCAGTCGGACAGTAGGCTTGCTGGGGGATGCGACAGCTTCCTCCAGACGGTAGGGGTTCGCAGGGTTCACAGACGCGACGTCATAGACTGTTGTGTTGCATGTACGGACCCTCCCCTCCCATTTCAATGATGTCGTCTGCTCGGACACGCACCGTCTGCTTGCGCAGAGCTTTGTGGCCGTGCTGCTCCAAACATTGAGATTTGAGGGAGGGTGGCCTTGTTGGCGTGCCGGTGTCGCAGTACAACCGTTTCTGATGGTCAGGTTCTTGTCCGTTCGGAGGTCAGTGGCTTAAAATCTGGTCTTGTTCCAGCTACCCTCCCAATGCGTAGTTTCTGGGGACACATGGTGGTTCCCCCTCTGTATCGAGAAGTGGTCGGTTGCACCCAGTGCTTTTCACCTTCTTGGAGCAGGGTCTGATTCTTCTGAACACTGCAGTTCAAATGGAACTGTTGAAAATTGGAGTTTTCTGCTTGGAAAAAATTTTGTTCTCATTTAAGAGACTTGGTTGTGTGGCTTGGACACAAATCCAAGATTTGGAATGGAGTGGAAGACGCGCTGCGGAAGTGGAGCTGTTTGGAGTTTTTTTTAAAGTTTGGTTGTGAAAAAGGATTGTGATTGGAGTTCATTTTGTGTGTAAAGCATAAGCTAGTTGGAGGTGGAAAAGTTTCCAAAGCTTCAGCTTGCGAGGAGGGCCAAGGCCGTGGAGTCGGAAAGAAAGGGCTCAGTGAATCAATGGCTCAGAAAGTACTTGTAAGAAAGATTCTTTTCATGATTTCAAGATGTCAAAATTCAAGTTTTATCAACAATATAACAAGTGTTTGATTGTTTTGAAGGTTCTCTCATTGCTTGTCACGATTTAGGATTGTCATGACTCCTCCGTTGCCATGATGCCGTGATCTTTGACTTTTTCGTGTTTCGACAAATGTTACCGAGCATATTATGTCATTTTACATGTTATTTATTACTTACATTGTCAAATGTCAATCAAATAAACAAGATAATCAAAATCAGAGTCTATCATTTACGAACGACGAAACTGCACGGTGGCGCGAGTCACTCCCTCCAACTCCTTGTGACTCCCTCTTGGTCTGCCTGGTCTTTCGGTTCCAGCTTCTGACGCCCAATGTGTTTCAGTTCTGTTGAAACAAATCAAAACGTCGCATGAATTCGAAGACTCATGGAATGAATATGAATCATGAAGTCTTGATTTTGATCGTGAACCCCCAATTCCAGAACTCGTGAGGCTGAAGTCTTGAATTTTTGGAAGTCTTGAGTCCTGAAGTCTTGAATCTTGCGTCTTGAAGTTTTTTGAAGTTTGAAATGAGATAATTAGGTTATAAACATGATAGACTGCCGACTGCAAGAGAAAATGGAAGCAAGTTCAGTGCATGTAAATTTGGCTCTCGCAGCACAATTCTGCCGTCACTTTCCACGTGGTAGCATAAACAAGCGTTGTTATGCTGGCGGTTGCAAAAGTTCGCACCGAATCAATGTCAGCAGTTGTGAGTCTCAAACCGTGGTTTCTGTTCCCTTTGCAGCTGCACGCTAACAGCAATTTGAAGCGAGCCTGAGCCTTGTTCTTTTCAGTGTGTTTAGTTTCTGCCCTCAAAACTGAGCACTCAGCAACGGTGCCCTGGCTCCAGTGAAACGGAACACAAAGATCGGTAAGCCAACAGATTTTATGGAGAGGTGCTCCTGTCTGATCCGTTTGGCGTTGGCAGCCAGAAAATTGCAATTCCAACAAGTTCTAACTGAATTCTGCCATTTAAACAAATTTTGGCCATTTTTGAAGCAAACTCAAGCAAATTGAACTTTTGCAGGTGTTTGGTGGGAAATTGACTTTCTAAGCAGGCCATTCAGGTGGGCCTCGGCCAGCCCCAAAGCGCCTTGGAACTCAACCACCGGAATCCATGCTTGGATTTGCTCTGAAGTATCATTTTGCCAACGCATAATAGCTTCGAGAAGCATTCCCACCGGAAAACCAGCAACATTTGGTGATTTTCAGGTGAGAATTGGTTACCCGGGCTTGGTTCAGGGAGTGGATTCCCACCGGAAAAGTGGCAAATTTGGCAGAGTTTCAGGTGCCCACCGGAGCCCACCGGAACCCACCGGAACCCACCGGAACCCACCGGAACCCACCGGAATCCCACCCAAAACAACCTTTAAAACGTACAAAAATGTGCTGAAAATGCAAAAATGCAGCAGAAAGGAGCAAAAACCACACAAACCCGCACAAAAAGTGAAATTGAATGGAATCCAGCGAAAAAGGCCAACCGCGCCATGAAATGCTCTGTTGTGCAACTCAGTCTGGCGGGACTCCCCGCCAGGAAAGGCAGCCCCAATTTTCACTAAGGTCAGGGCCTGCCGGCCTGGATTGTGGTGGGAGACACTGGGAGGTGCTGGGGGCTGGGAGGGATTGGCAGAGCCTGGAAGAGAGAGGCTGGGAAGTGTGGGAGGCATTGGACGGGGTCTAAATCTAGGAGTAGTGGAGGACGCTTTGTGATGCCCTAGCAGCAGGAAGTTTTTTTTTATAACATGACACAAATGAAGCGGAGTGTAGGCTAGGGCAGATCGGCGTACTAAAGTTCTGAATAAGCTGGCGCAAGGCAGGTGTGCAAAGCTAGAATTGCTTTGGCCTGAAACGGGAAGGCCAAGATGCCCAGTGAATGCATGGTTCTCTGTATCTCATAGCTTGTGCTGGTTGAGAATCAGTACGACCAGCAGGACGAATTGCTCTGATGATTCATTGGAGTATGTTGCAAGATTGGGAAGTCACTGTGTTGCTTTTGTCATGTTGCCTCTGACAGGTTCAAATTTGCAGTGTCTGCTTACAAGTCTCGTTCGAGAATCTCTTGGTGTGACACATTGTAGGGTCTAAGTCCCCGTCTCAGCTCGTATGCTTTCTTGCAACACATTTTGCTGTTGCATTAGGTGAAGCCGGAAACCTCGACCAATTTTTGGTCGCGGAATGGCAGCAACTCATCGCGTTGAAACTTTGTCTCCGTGATCGTAACCGAGAACTCAGCACCGGTGTTGATTCTGATTTGTCAAATCTTCGTTATGTCTAAACAGTTAAACAGGTGCGAGTTTGTACAAGCATCCATTCCCTTCTTACAGTTACTTGGCA